AGATAAGAATTTGTACCATTTGTTATTTGAATTCTATGACTTGTTAAACATTTTTTTCCAGGATCCAAAAATTGATTTAACAATGGGCATTGTTCTTCATGATAATTGTCTTGGGTCAGTTTTGATTCACTAAAATTTAATTTTAATGACATTAACAATTGAATGCCATTTACCCTTAGTTCTGTCAGGGACTTAGTGTTGTGATTTGGTTCTGTTGAGGATCCACTTATTAGTTCAGGATTCACAAATGATTTCTGAGATTTTAACTTTTATAGGTGGCAAAATTAATAACTTTAGTAAAGTTGTATAATGCTGGCCAGAGGAGGTTGTGGATATGTTCTGAAAGTATTTTTCTTCTTGGGAAAAGGTAGTGGAAGACAAATGTCCTTTAGAAAACAAATGCTTTCTCCCTTAACAAGGAACCCTGAGAGATGTTCTGGAGAAAGAAGTTTATACAAAGGTAAAAGCATTATTTTGCATGTCATTTTCATGATTTTGAATATTCTCTTGAAGTATCTCTATGCTACTGACTTCCAAATATTCTACAAATAGTTCTTCTGGTCTTTTTATAGTAGGCATTTATGTTTATATGTAACTCTATCCATCCTGGAAGATTCTGGTTACTGATACCCAATTTTCAGAGTGATACTTCAGTATTTTAGTAGACACAGGTGTTTCCAGACTTCATCAGTGGCTTATCCCCTTGCAGTTCAGTTCTTCATATTCAGGCTGGCAAGTTGCCCAACCAGGAATTTTAAAACCCTGCATTTAATGCATTATTGCTCTAGTGAAGAACTGTTAAGGGCTTCGTGTTATCTGTTGAATTATTGCTTTATTCCTCTGCCTGGCATCCAGGCTGCTTATAAATGGGCCCTCTTAATACAGATGAGCTTATGGTCCAAAATGCCCATTATGAACCCTTAAGTCTTTAACTTTTTGGTCTCTTAATTTTTTGTGCTTACTACCTTTGTTTTCTTCTTACCTCTAAAATTCTATCCATCTTTCAAGGCACATTTGTATACCAGGTGCTCTTCCAAATTTTTGACTATACCAACTTGCTTGGGTCTCCTTTCTTTCCTATATTAAATAGTAATAATAATAATAATGGTAATGTAAATATACTGACATTTATAGAGTCCTTGTCAAGGCCTTGCTGTAAGTATTTTGCTCATGTTTCAGTATTTAATCCCTGTAATGACCCTCTGAGGATGTATGATTTTAAATCTCTGATTTATAGGTGAAGAAACTGGGGGAGGAAGAAATTAAATCACATGCCCAGTTACACAGATGGTAATTGATTAGGCTTAGAATTTGAAACCAGTCAAACAGAGTAGTAATCATGCTTTTAACCAGTATACTCTAGTTTCTGGGAATAGATGTCAGTTTTAACTACTGATGGCCAAGTTTGTGAATGTATTCTTCTTTTTTTAAAATTAATTATTTATTTTTTTGGGGGTAATCTCCCATGTGTGTATTTCTTTTTCTTTTTCTTTTTTTTTTTTTTTTTTAAATGATTTATTTATTCCTGAGAGAGAGAGAGCATGATCAGGGGAGGGTCAGACAGGGAGGGAGACACAGAATCTGAAACAGGCTCCAGGCTCTGAGCTAGCTGTCAGCACAGAGCCCGACTCAGGGCTCCAGCCCACAAACCGTGAGATCATGACCTGAGCCGAAGTCGGATGCTTAACCAACTGAGCCACCCAGGAACCCCTCGTGTGTAAAGAGAGAATACATGCTGAAGAATCAAAGACTTGTATAAGTGGGAATAACTGAGATTATTAAGAAAAAAATGTGACTGCTTTCCAAAGTAATTATCAAAGCCAACCTAAGAGATTTTACAAATATAGGTTCCAGGCCCTAGACTTTGAATTCAGGATGTTTAAAGATTCTCACATGCTGTCTGGATATTTCTTATCTACAATTTGTGTTCCATTTTGTACACTAATATTTGGGAATCATGTATGGCATTTTTTTAAAAAAAATTTTTATTATGGATCTTTTGTTAGATCATTTCAGCAAAAAAGCCTAAGGCTAAGTTACATTGGAACTGTCATTGACTAAATAACGTGGTAGATCTACTTTTCTTCAACCATCAGTCTTTTTCTCAGTTTTCAGAGTTCAGTCACCATAGGTCAAATTCCTTTTGTAAATAAATGACAGTCAGGGTTTAGTTCTGTTTGCAGTGGTTTATTTGATTTTTTTAAAAATCTTCTCTATTTATTTTGAGAGAGAGAGCACAATGCCCTTGAGTGGGGGAGGGGCAAAGAGAGCAGGAGAGAGAGAATCCCAAGTAGACTCCCCCCTAAAACCCCCAGATTTGGAGCTTGACCTCATGTACTGTGAGATCATGACTTGAGCCGAAACTGAGAGTGGACTACTCAGTTGGCTGAGCTACCCAGGCTCCCCTGTTTACAGTGTTTTAAGTATCTTTGTGACAAAGAGAGAACTGAAGTTGACATACTAATTATAATATTTTAATATTATAAATTTAGTAATCAATTTTGAATTTACCAAAGACTTTTTTAGCAATCTTTGACTATGCTTGGTTTTATTTTATACCTCATTGCTAAATCAAAGTGGTTAACGTGTTAAAAAGAACTAGTTACAATTTTTTTTAATCCCATGAACCAGAGAACAATACAGACTTTTGGTCTTCATATTAGGTTTCACAGCAGTATAGTTTAAGTACGTGTAAATAGGTCATATGTTTTGTTATATTGTGAACTGTCTTACCAGGAAAAAAAAACCTTCCACTGTGGGTCTTACTTACTCAAGATCATGCTGGCATTCCCAGTTTGTGTGCAGTTGCTGTTGACTGATGATCATAATGATAATAGAGGACAGATGGGAAAGTGGATTGCAATCTCAATCAAGTTTCCTCTATGTTTGCCTGTTAATGTACATAATTGATAGAATTAACTGATGAGACATTTTGGTTTTCTTTGCTTTAGTTCTAGTTAGGGTTTGACTTTCTAGGAAATGTCCCAGAGGTTACATCATGTGATAACCCCCTGCCTCCCGAGGTACAGTCTTTCTCTGTGCCAGTCAGAATTTGTTTCTGTAAATTTGACCCAATGATTCTGCTTCTCTCTTTTAGTGCCATGCACAACAAAGGATAACAGCCTTTCACAGAAGTGACTGAGTTGCATTTCCCTTTGAATCTGGTGGATATTCTGTAGGAAGCCATTTCTTCAAATGTTTCTTTCATGAACATTGCCTCTCTCTTCACCCCCTTGGGCACGGGCTTTTAAAAGTTTTTAAATGTCTCTTTATGTGTGGCTCTCAGAGCCGATATAGTAAGACCAATGCAGAAGTATAGTTTTTAAGTTAGGAAGCTTATTTTTTGTGTGACTGGATAGTGTGGGGTTTAGAAACTGCTCTCAGCAGTGGGCTTAATGGAACCATCATTGTTTTCTCTGTACACTCTTGTACTGTTTGAAATTTTTACAGTATGTAGGTCTTTTGTTTAAAAAGAGAAAGAAAACTAAAATGGCTTATGCTTTGTATATGTGTAAATTCAGGCTTGTCTGGACATATATGGAGGGTAGCAGAGCTGGTGTTTGTGTATGGGTGTGTGCTGCTTGTGTAAAAGATCATGGAACCTCATGGGAAGGGATTTAGGAAACAGATAATTGAGTGTGTTCAAGCATAGTCCCTGGAGATTTTATTATTTTTGTTATTTTTTATGAGAGATGGGTAAATTCATGGTATATCAGGGTATATCCTCTTAGTATCATCTTCTGATGCTGCCCTTCTCCTGAGTGACTTGTGCTAGAGCCCAGAGATAGCAAGATGTGAGTTGATGCCTATTTATTGATCTCTTACTGTGTACTAGGCCTTGGGTACAGAGGGTGGGTCTCTATTTTCTAACATAAAGGCACACAAAACATGATATGAAATATGCGAAGGAGCTTAGGCATAGGAGAGGACGTGTATGGGATCAGATCTAGGAAGAGAACACTGTAATGTGCGTTGACCATGGAGCCTGTGTTAGGTTAGCAGGGAACCTGTAGATCGAGGAGCACCTGTAGAATCTGTGGCGGAGACAAAGAGTTGGCAGTGGCAGGCAGAATTTTCTATACCAACATCTGGGCAGTTATTTGTTCATTATCATTATTGAGCATCTGCTGTGTGCTCAGTACTGGCCTAGGTCCTGAAAATACAGTGATAAGCAAAGCAAAGTCCTTTGTGTTGTGGACCTTATATTCTAGCAAATGGGACTGGTAACTCAAAATACATAAATAAGCAGTGTAAATTAATAAGGTGATGTGCTAGGGAATAATCAGGGGGAAAAGGATGAGTGTCTGGGGGGTAAGGGTTTTACTTTATTATTTTTAAATGTTTGTTTATTTTTGAGTGGGGGTGGAGGGGCAGAGAGACAGGGACAGAGGATCTGAAGTGTGCTCTCTGCTGACAGCAGCGAGCTGATGCAGGGCTACAACTCACCAACCATGAGATCGTGAGCTGAAAGTCAGACACTTAAAACCGACTGAGCCACCCGAGGGTTTTACTTTAAACTGGAGGTCAAGAAAGTTTCTTCTGACTGAGAGGGTGACATTGACTTAAGAATAAGAAGCCAGTCATGGGAAGAGCCAGAAGAGTGTTGCAGACACAGAGAATGGTAAATACAAAAACCTCGAGACAGGAAAGAGCTTGGTGTGTTCAAGGAATAGAAAGGAGGCCAGTGTGGCCACGGTATAGTGAGCAAGGAGGAAAGTGGAGTGATGTGAGGTACCTCCATCTAGTGTCAGAATGAGAGACGAGGAGGTTTAAGATTACATTGGAAGCAATCATAGGACAATTCCTGGGGATTTGAGAGGGATTCTAATTCCTTTGTATTAAAGCTGAGCTCGAGAGATTGGGTTACGATTGTTGTGATCTTATCGTATCTACAAATTGGTGTGTTTTATTTTTTATTTTTTAAAATATATTTTTATTTATTTTTGAAAGAGAGAGCACGTGCGCGTGAGAGAGCGCCAGCAGGGGAGGGGTAGAGAGAGAGGGAGACACAGAATCCAAAGCAGGCTCCAGGCTCTGAGCTGTCAGCACAGAGCCCGTCACAGGGCTGGAGCTCGTGAACTGTGTGATAGACCGTGACCTGGCCTGAAGTTGAATGCTTAACTGAGCATCTGAACCACCCAGTCACCCCAAATTGGTGTGTTTTATAAATTGGTTTTGGTAAAAAAAAGTTTCTTGGGAAGAATTCAAAAAAATTTTTGAGCAAAGGAATAACTGTATAGCCTGCCAAAGTGACTCTTTTGAAGTAAAATACTCAATATGTTTGTTTTGAAAAGTTATTTATTGTTACAGCATGTACACTATTATTTTTCATTGTTATTTGCATACTGATTACATTTTTTTCTTGTTTTGTGTTCTTTAAAACATTTTTTTTTTATCACTGTAAGAAGCAGCTGTTGGCCCAGATGGCTTCTGTTTTCATTTCCTTGTGATGTTATGACCTCTTCTATTTTAATAAAGAAATGTTGGATACACATTGAAGAGTTGTTTACAAATTATGTTGGTAACACTTTTGTTAGAATATGCCTCAAAGATAAAGTGAGTGTTAGGATGTTTATTCTAGGTCCCATATGTTGAGCTGAAAAAGGTTTTAAAATGTGCCTATTTTTAAAAAGAATGCTTTAGTTGTTGGTTGGTTAGTGTACCCAATGTCAAAAGTTATTTTCTTATCTCTAATTATCTTAAGTGGAGGGAATTTAGAAGATTTAATGTTTTTCATTTCTGAGTATTTCAGAGAGGTCACTTGGGTGGGGTTAACAACTAATAAGAGAAGTTGCCCGTTGATAATTTAGTATCAGATTTTCATGCCTTATCCACATTATTAATGGATAAAAGTGTCATCACTATCGTATAAATGTAAGTCTGCAGTACTAAGTTATTGTGCCTTAGTAAATGATGTAATTTCATACTTCATATTTAGATGAGCTTTTTATAAATTCAAGGCAAGAATGAGTTTTCCTGTGAGTTTTGGGTTATGTTTGCAAAGTCATGCTTACAAACAGCTTATGAATTATCTGTAGTACATTAAATATGATAAAAGAATGCACAAGTATAAAATTTTACATACAATTTTCTTAATGATTTTATCTTAACTTTTAACATAACCTAGGGGCTCCTGGGTGGCTCGGTCGTCTGGGTGTCCGACATTGGCTCAGGCCACATCAGGCTTTGTGCTGACAGCTCAGAGCCTGGAGCCTGCTTCAAATTCTGTCTCACACTTTCTGCCCCTCCCCTACTTGCGCTCTGTCTCTCTCTCTCCCTCAAATAAATAAACATTTAAAAAATTAAAAAATAAAGTAACCTAATGATAATTACTTCTTAGTCTTAAAAAACATTTCAGGCAATTAACGATCATATAGTAATGAGTGGTCAAACATCTGTGAATATGTTATTACTAAAGCTAATATACGAGTATTGTACTTTTTTTACAGTGATTTTTTTTTTTTAGGGTTTATATTTTCTTCGAACATAACATTTTAGGATTATACCTTTAGTGGACAGTATCCTACATACTGTGTAGTGTAGATACTAAGTGCAAGCTCTTAGTGCATGCCTATGAATCCCCACTCTGAAATTTACCAGATATATATATTTGGACAAATTACTCAATTGTACCCCAAGTTCTTCAACTGTCAAATGGATGTAAAATATTTACATCATAGCACTGTTGAACTGAATAAATTAATACGTGTAACATGTCTGGCTCATGGTACTTCCTGAAAGTTATCTAATAACAATAAAAGTTACCTTATAATGGGGCACCGGGCTGGCTCAGTTGGTGGAGCATGTGACTCTTGTTCTTGGGAGCATGTGACACCTATGTTGGGTGTAGTGATTACTTAAAAATAGTAAAAATCTTTAGAGTGGGAGGCAAACCATAAAAGAGACTGTTTGTTGTTGTTAAGTTTATTTATTTATTTTGAGAGAGTGAGAGAGACATCATGAGTTGGGGAGGGGCAGAAGGAGAGGGAGGGAGGGAGAGAGAGAAAATTCTAAGCGGTCTCCATGCTGTTAGCACAGAGCCTGATGTAGGGTTCAAACTCAGAACTGTGAGAACTGTGAGAACTGTGACCTGAGCTGAAAGCAAGAGTCAGATGCTTAATGGACTGAGCCACCCAGGCTCCCTGAGAATAAACTGAGGGTTGCTGGAGGAGAGTGGGTAGGGGGATGGGCTAAATGGATGATGGGTATTAAGAAGGGCACTTGATATGCTGAGCCCTTATATGTATTATATGTAAGTGATGAATCACTAAATTCTACTTCTGAAACGAATCTTATGCTATATGTTAACTAACAAGAATTTAAATAAAAACTGGAAACAAAAAATAAAAATAAGTGAAATGGAAAAAACAAAACCACAAAAAATGAAATCTTAAAAAAATTACCTTATAGTAATAAATACTTACTGCTAATACCTAGCTGAAGCAGTTTTGACTCTTTTTGAAATAATATTTATAGATTTGAAGTAATAGTTCTAGATCAATCATTTCATCATCTTCAAAATTCAATTTTTTTTTCTTTTGAGAAGAAGTTTTATATTTTTAGGTTTTTACATAGAATTTTTTCAGAAGCACCATCTTACACAACACACATGCACATACACATCCCATGTGGTTTGAATTATTGAAGTATCATATAGAACATGCATAATAAGTAAGCGGGCCATTTCATTCTTCCATCTGTCAGGTCTTGCATAAACTCTGAAAGAGTTTTAAAAAGAGGATGGGTACTAGTAATACATACCTCCAATTAGACATTCTTTCTATAGTGATTACTATTCACAATGGATTTTTTTTTAACTTCTTTTAAAGTGACATGATAAGCTATGTTGCTGGTGAAGGCAGTTGCTATAGGGGACAATTTTTACTTTCTCCACTGAGGGACAAATATGATTATAAAGAGAGTATGCAAGTGAAATGTAGACTACACAAACTAAGAAATGTGTCTGCCATTTGTACTATCTCTTTTCAGGAGGTTTTGCAGTTTAGCAGCCTTTGTGTGTAGAGCTCTGTTCTTACTGTGTCATCTTACTTTTCTGGTGGCAGAGAACTGGACCTGGGATGGGTGCCAGATCCAAATGTAGCCATCTATAGACAAAGTTAAGAGATCTCTATGTCATCATACTATTTACAAGCTGGGTGCATTTTGTGAAATGTAAGATCTAACCACTTTGAACTTCGGCAGTACAAATGAATATAAATCATTGCTGCTGATTCATTGGTTTGTTTACTTATTCCGTAAATATTCATCAAACATTGTTTCTATGCCAGGCACTGTCCTAGGCCCTGAGAATACAGTGATGTGAATAAAATAAAGTCTGTGCTGTCTCAGACCTGTATTTTAGGGGCGTGAAGAAGAGACAATAGACAAAAAATAGTTGCTGGTAAATAATTCGGAGCAAAACAAAGGAGTGTAGGGAAAGTGGAGTTGATTAGGAGTTACTAATATGTAGAAAGTGAACAAATAAGGCCTCATATTAAGACTTTTGAGCAGAGACTTGGATGAAGTTGGGGAAGAGGATTTTCGGTAAAGAGTAAAGACCCCGAGAGGAGTATTTGCTTAGTATGTTTGAGGAATGGCAAGCCTTTAGTGGCTAGAGTAGACTGAAAGTGGGATACTGGTAGAAGATGATTTTAGAGAGTTGAGGGTACTTATTTCCTAAGATTGATTGTATTAAAATTTACAGCAGTTTAGTTGATAGGAACGAAGCATTTTGCCTTTAGATTAAAATAAGACCATGTCAGTATAGTGAGAGTTTCTGGGTTTTTTGGAGCACAACACATACTACTCTGGTACATAGTAAATGTTTTCTCTGATGTATGAAAAGTCTGCTGAAAGCAGTGTTATTTTATTTAGGACTGATGTTAAGTTTCAGTAATATTTGATGTTTAAGAGGTTGTAAATATTGGTATATGTATATTAGTATTTTTGTTGATATGTAGCAAGAATAACTGATTATAAGTGAGAAATGGGGTCAGATTGTCAGATTACATATATGTATACAGTTCAGTGATAATAACTTACATGGAGGGTTGACTAATTGCCATCACCCTTATAATAATGTTCACTTTTAAAGGTAAAGTGAAACAAAATATTATTTTTGTCTTTACTGCAAGATTTTGTCTTTATCCTGTTTTTCAGCTTCATAATGGAGATGGAGAAATTTTAGTATCTTTTGGGTAATCACTAAAGTAACATGCAGATTATTAGAAGGATATTAATAGGGAAAATGATTTGGTGTGTTTCAGAAATTTTCAAAAATATTTGAAATTGCCTTTAAAGTTTTACTTTCAGAAACATTTCCTGGTCTCATTACAGATCATGAGGGGCGCCTGGCAGGCTCAGTCATTAGAGCATGTGACTCGATCTCAGGGTCATGAGTTCAGGGTCCATATTGAGTATGGAGCCTACTTAAAAACAAAGAAACAAGAAAAAGAGTGGATGATTATGAAAATGCTTCATTTATACCTAGCAAGAGTAACCTGTTAAAGTCCCCTGACTTACCAGGTGAACTGGTAACCAGAGACCAGTTGTTTTTGGCTTTTGTTCTAGTCACTAGATTGGAATTTTAAATAAAAATAGCTAAATATTTTCTTCAGGAGGGGCAGTTTTCCCAAAGAGTTTTCGTTTTATTATCATTATTAAACCTTCATTCTTTTAAGATTTAAGTTTTCGCATAGCTAGACAGTTATCCCAATTAGAAGTTTCATAATCAACTGTATGACATTTTGCATCAGTGAAACCCCACCCATTTTACTTGTCTGAAGGAGGAACAAAAAACATTAGAAACAAATTTTCTCATCAAAGGAGACTTAAAATTATTTTTAATGTTTATTTATTTTTAATGTTTTATTTATTTTTGAGAGAGAGATAGAGACAGCATGAGCAGGGGAGGGTCAGAGAGAGAAGGAGACACAGAATCTGAAACAGGCTCCAGGCTCTGAGCTAGCTGTTAGCACAGAGCACGATGCAGGGCTCGAACCCACCAGCCATGAGATCATGATCTGAGCCGAAGTCTGATGCTTAACCGACTGAGCCACCCAGGCGCCCCTTTTAATGTTTATTTTTTAGAGCAAGAGAGACAGAGGCTGAGTTGGGGGAGGGACAGAGAGAGACTGAAGACACAGAATCTGAAGCAGGCCCCCTCAGAGCCCGACCGACTGGGGTTGGGAGGGCGGGGACACTTGAATTCATCAACTGTGAGATCATGGCCTGAGCTGAAATTGGTGCTTAACCAGCTGAGCCACCCAGGCACCTCAGAGGAGACTGTTTATGTAAAGCACAGATTTACATTAATAGAGAACTTTATAAATTCAATCTAATTAATGGTAAAGCTCCAAATATAATACAGATGAGCTACTCCTCTACAGTTGGTAACGATTTTAAACTTATTTTTCAAAGATTTTGTGAAGCAAGTATTTTCTTCAACAAAACTTGGAAGTTGATTTATTAGGCTGTTTAAATAAGGTCTTGTACTTATTTCATTTTTGATGATGTAGTTTTTTGTAGATGGCAGTATGCTTGAGTTTCATGGTCAATTTTGGTTTCCACCAGAAATGATTATTATTTGCTTTGGGTTTGATTTATTTAATCTTATAAAGTCATAATCTTTAAAAAGGAAGATTTTTTAAAAAGAAAAATCAGTAGGAGGAAGTAGAATGGTGGTGAAAGTACCAGGGTTGGGGGGGAAGGGAAATGGGGAGTTGTTTAATAGGTATAATGTTTCAGTTTTGCAAACTGAAAAAATTCTGGAGTGCTGTTGCACAACAACGTGAATGTATTTACCACTGGGGAACTATCCACTTAAAAATGGTTAAGATAGTTTAAGGAAAAAGGAGAAAACATATCAGTGCATTGACCTGCTGGGTTTTTTTTTTTAACTCATCTCATAAATAGCACATGCAGGACGATAGAAGTTGATGTGACCTTTATTTGATCAACAGAAAATGATTGTATATAAAACCTTGTTATTTCTTATGGATATTACAGATACACATTTTTTTAAAAGATTTTTTTCCTTGAATTTGTGAGAGAAATTTTTTTTTTAGTGTCAAGTTAGCTAATATACAGTGTATGCAGTGTGCTTTTGGTTTTAGTAGAAATTTTAGTAGCATCTGGACAGGAATAAGTAGACAGATTATTACAGACTTTACTTGACATTATGGAAACTAGAATTTAACTTTAAGGATTGAGATAGTTATGGTAATGTGATTTCTTAACTAAATTGAAAGATTTACTAGGGAATATCCTCTGTATTTAAAGACAGTGGAAAGTTTGTCAGAATTGGCAAACTACCTCCTAGTTCAGTAATCCTAAGGCATTATAATTTGCCTTCTCTTTAAACACACATACATTCCACAAAAATTTGATATATATTGCTCCTAGGTCTTTTAAACTGTTAGGTCATTCTTTAAGTTGTATTTAACATCTAAGCTAAAATAAAAATATCATAAATATGCCTACATATTTCTTGGTATGAAGTATGGATGCACTTAACAATGTCGTATGAAATGGTTAACACTCCAAAGCCTGATTTTTCACATATTGGTGGTCAAGGTGCCTACGTAGCATACATATCAACTGTGCCTACATAGCATACATATATGAGGAAGCCAGTGTTGTGTTTTACTTCTGACCATCTGGAATTAGCTACTTTGTCTCCTTTATAGTTTTCTAATACATTATTTCTGATGTTTTTTGCAATTCTAATATTTTGAATGTTGAATATTTGAATGGGTAAGAATATGACTGTTCTAGGTAGCCCAAACCTCTCTTCCCACTTTTTCTTAGTACAAGTAAAGTGAATTTTGGCATGCAGTTTAGCCTGGAGATGCACTCTCTAACCTTGCTGAACATTTTCTTGATTTCTGTGTTTAAGCATTCCTAAAGCATTAAAAGTGACCTGTATTATTTGAGAGACCCTTCCTTTTTTGTAATTGGCCTTTTTGACCTTTTCATGTTTTTAGGTTTCTTTTTTTTGTAAGTTGAAATTTGAGGGAAGAGAGTGAAACTATGACTTTTAGTTTTTTATTTTAAAGTGATTTTTATAAGTGACCTGGACAGGTGCCTGGGGGGTTCAGTGGGTTAAGCATGTCTTTGGCTCAGGTCATGATCTCACAGTTTAGGGCCCGAGCCCTCTGTTGGGCTCTGTGCTGACAGATCAGAGCCTGGAGCCTGCTTTGATTTGTGTGTCTCCTTCTCTTTCTGCCCCTTCCCCACTCATATTCTGTCTCTATCTCTCAAAAAATTAAACGTTAAAAGGTGACCTGGAATAGATGAAATGTAGTGAAACAAAGTTCAAGAAAATTTGGCTTATGGTTACATATATTTGTGAAATTTTACTTTAGTTTTATGAACCTCCTTAAAATCAATGAAGTTATTGATCAAAGGAATCTATCTTGTTATCGCCTCATTTTTGTGGTTAAGTATACAGTATTACATGTCTGATAGCAAGCCAGGCAAATAAATTAAAGAAGGTTACTGTATCCAGTAGAATATGGTTTAGTGTAGTGTTACAGATATACTAGGTCACAGTGAGCTCAGTCTGGCATGGAAGTGTTAGGCCATGAACAGGAACTTTAGGCAAGTGGTTGAAATTTATAATATCAGTGATTTCTAGAGACAGTGGTATCCTTCATTTTTAAAAACAGACCCAAACCACTACTATAAGTACACTTTTTTTGGACTTTTTTTTAGTCAGTTTCTTTCCCACTATTGGTTAGTCTAGAGTGGCCCTTTAAGGAAGTTTGATGGGAGGTGGTGGGAAGATCTTTGTGTATTGGATGTTTTCAAGGCAAACCATTATGAGAAACTAAACCTTTCTTAAATTATTCCATCTATGTTGAGATATGGGTAATTTACAGATAAGTTATTCTATCCTATCGTGATGTTTTTCTCATACAACCTTTTTATCTGTTCTCACTCATTATGTCATCATTTTATATTTGTCTTTGCTTTGATTCAGAATTTTTGATCTTGGCAGAAATACTCTGGCAAAACTTCTAAGAAGCTAATTTTTAAGCTTCTGAATAAAACTTTCCATTGCCTTTCAGCAGCTTTTGAATTTTTCTTTTTTCTGGAGAAAATGCTAATAGGAAGAGGGAGAAGAAGGGAAAAAGGAGTTTCGGAGGAGGCTAGAACTTAAAGCTCATTTAATAGTAGGTTACTAGATCAGTAGCCATGTTATTTTTTTAATCAAGTTCTTTAAAAATGTTTTACTTGCTAATGTATTTATGTTTTTATTTATTTATACATACTTTTTAAGGTACTACTTCTTTTACTTACCATGATGACTTTTTAGAGAAATGTGGGCCATAGAGTATATATATACATTAGTGTTAAGTGATTCTGGATCGTGGGTAATTCATATCTTAATTTTTTGTGTTTTGTTCCCCTCTTCCACCTGCCACTCCCACCCCCACCAAGTGAGGTTCAATAAACATTGCTTTGAATTACCAATGTCTTCTATTGAAATTGAAACTCCTTGCTTTGAGGAACTAAATGAATCAGGGCCAGTTAGGAAAATGAAAACACTTTAGGTGTTTTAAATAGAAAATTTTAATACAAGAAGTTTGTAAATACATTTTAATTGAAAAAAGAAACTCAACAGGGTATGGCAGAGTAGTCTAGAAATAAATAACAGTAGGAAAACCATTGCCATCTTTAGGACCAAGAGAGACAATGGGAAGATGCAGTGTCACCAGAGCTGGGGTATGGGAGCTGTGTGGCAGGAGCTAAAACCACAGAAAGTGCATGGTCCAGAGTCCGACCACGAAGCCAGGGGCTGACTAACTATAGGTAGAACCGCAGAAAAGATGTAGAAAGGGGAGAAATATCAAGCCTTCTCTCTGATCCCTCAGGGCTCAGCTATTGCCTCTCTTATTGGTGGGACTTCTCCCAAAGCCAGAGCAAGGGAGCCTGGGGAATGTAGTTCCTTGGCATAGAGAAGCAAAGAAGGGGGTAGGGTATTGATTTGAGCAAAGAGACAAATGTGACCAGTATAGGTAATACAGAAATACTGATTTTTTCCCCTTTGGAAATTGGTAATATTTGTGCTTTCATATTCTAAGACACTCCTTCCTTCCATGGCTCGGGAACTTGTATAAGATGGAAATAATTATGATGTACATTGTTTCAGTTTTCAGGAATTTATATTTAGTATTATTAAACTGTTACTACCTTTGCTGCATATATTTTTGCCAGTTTCTCTTCATTTTTATTGTTTCTATAATTTTGACAGGTGTTTATCATTTTCATTAGTTAATATTTTTTCATCTATTTATGTTTTTTTAACATCCTCAAAGATTAGAAAGTCAGTTCCCTTGAGATATTTAATAAATATTCTGTCCTGTCATTTGCTCTTTCTGGTTTTCAACATTTTTAAACTCTGTAATCCACTTGGAATTATTTTTGGTGTGGGGTGATGCATTATTTTAATGCCTGTTAAGGTAGTTTATTTCTTTTTAGATAAAGATTATCTATGCTTTGAGAATCTTGATCTTTTCTCTGTAAATTGCCTTGTCTATGCTGGATTTCTTTAAATTTGGTAGATACTGACCTTTAGTAATATTATAAACTTTATTTGAAGTGTCGTCTTTGCTAATTCCTTAATAATTTATTGACTAAAGTGTACTTCTGTTTATTTCTTTTAAGTTTATTTATTTTGAGAGAGACAGAGACAGTACAAGTGGGGGAGGGCCAGGAGAGAGAGAGAGAGAGGGAGAGAGAGAATCCCAAGTAGGCTCTGCACTGCCAGCGCTGCGCCCAGTTTGAGGCTCGAACCCATGAAGCTGCGAGATCATGACCTGAGCCAAAACCAAGTTGGATGCTTACCCAACTGAGCTACCCAGGCAACGCTGTACTTCTGTTTTTAAACATGTTAAGTGGCTGCCCAAAGACATTTCACCTCCATTTATTCACTTATTTATTTATTTAAGATTTTTAAGATTTTATGATTAAGTAATCTCTGTATCCATCGTGGGATTTGAACTTTGAACCCTGAGATCAAGTGTTATGTGCTCTACTGACTGAGTCAATTGGTGCCTCTCACCTCTTTTTTTTTTTTTTCTTTTTTTAATTAAAAAGTCTCATATTTGTGATTTAGGTTAATTTTAAGACCGTTTGATATTAACTAACAAATAGCTTAGAAGTTTAATATTGATACATGGCATCTCGGTTAATTGCTTTTTATGTGCAGGTCCACAAACAACTGTCAGGATTTTTATTTTTTATTTTAATTGTGGGAAAGTAGAATGACTGTGTTGAGTAATGAGTGTGTGTCTAATGTGTTTTGAACTTGGCCTTTTAAAATCAGTTGCTGTAATTATATTAATCTGCTAATTGTAGTGCAGAACATTGTCTAAATTTAGTAGGGAAGTAAAAATCAGAATATCAAAAGAAAGGAAAGGTTGATTACTTAATAATTAACTCCTTAGCTTTTCTCTTGGTGTTTATTGACTTGAAGGTGTTGAAACTCTGAAAATAAGTAGACAGTGCACCACTTCTTATTTTGTTTGCATGTGAAATGTATATTATTAAGATATTTGTAGAGTAACAGAATAGTTAACTTAGCCATTTTTTTAAAAAAGTGGATTGTAAGGGAAGGTGGTTGAGGAGAGATGAATTTAAATTGCATTATTTTTCAAAAAAGATAAAAACTAGCCCCTCATTTTTAGATTTGAAGTATGAGATTTGTTTTCAGTTCCTCTCGAATCATAATTTTAAATTTTGGTGTAACTGGTAATTTAAAGCATTAATACAAATTTAAGCTTTTTAACGTAGAAATTTTCAACATTATAGAAGCAGAATAATATAATAAGCCCAATATATCCATCACTGATTTTCAACTAAGTATGTAAATTAATTTCATTTTATCTGTATTTTCATTGACTTCTACCTTTACTTCTGGCATTCTTTTTTTTTTTTTTTATAGTTTATTGTCAAGTTGGTTTCCTTATAACACCCAGTGCTCATCCCAACAAGTGCCCTCCTCCATGCCCATTACTCCCCTCCCCCTCTTACCCACTCCCATCAGCCCTCAGTTTGTTCTCAGCATTCAAGAGTCTCTCATGGTTTGCCTCCCTCCCTCTCTCCAACTATTTTTCCCCTTCTCCTGCTTTGTCCTCTGTTAACTTCCTCCTAATCCACCTATATCTGTGAACATATGGTATTTGGCCTTTTCTGTCTGACTTATTTCGCTCAGCATAACACCCTCTAGTTCCATCCATGTTGGTATACATGGCCAGATTTCATTCTTTCTCATTGCCATGTAGTATTCCATGGTATAGATAAACCACATCTTCTTGATCCATTCGTCCGTTGATGGACACTTAGACTCTTTCCATGTTTTGGCTATTGTTGAGAGTGCTGCTATGAACATTGGGGTACATGTGCCCCTATACATCCACTCCTAGCAGTGCTACTGCTGAGTCATAAGGGAGTTCTTTTGTTAATTTTTTGAGGAACCTCCATACTATTTTCCAGAGGGGTTGCACCAGCTTACATTCCCACAAGCAGTGTAGGAGGGTGCCCGTTTCTCCACATCCTCGCCAGCATCTAGAGTCTCCTGATTCGTTCACTTGAACCACTCTGACTGGCATGAGGTGGTATCTCAGTGTGGTTTTGATTTGTATTTCCCTGTTGAGGAGGGATGCTGAGCATCATTTCATGTGTCTGTTGGCCATCTGGATGTCCTCTTTGGAGGAGTGTCTGTTCATGTCTTACTACTGGCATTCTTTTGAAGCAGATTGAGCTAGCATATTATTTCATCCAGACATTCCAGTATGTGTCCCAAAGAGTAAGAATTCTTTTTTTTAAGAGTTTTATTTTTTTAAGGTAATAGTTACACCCAACATAGGGCCATGACCCATGAGATCAAGAGTTATGCATGCTTAGCTGACTGAGCCAGCCAGGCACCGTAGTAAAAATTCTTTTTAAAAATGTAATTACAGTGTCTTTATCACTCCTGAAGAGTTGACAATAATTTTCCAATATCAGCTATTCAGAGTTCTCATTTTCCTGATTGTCATCCATAAGCATATACAATAACCTTTGCGAGTAACTTGGTCTGCAAGTGTTCTGTAAGATGAAAAAACATTTCTAATAAATTTTAACTTGATAAACTAGCCATGTCTTGCAATACAAGTAGTACATGACACTGAATGTTACATGATCACAACTGAGCCAATGGTTCTTGAGATTCAGTTTGATTTACCAGTGCTTTGGATTATAAGCATGTTTCTGGAATGAATTACGCTCACAAACAAAAGTTTTACTGCATTTGTGTTAGAAGAAGAAGAATTTTTTTTAACAATCTGTTTGAATCAAGATCCAGATAGGTCCATTTTTTAGGATTAGGATTGGTTTATAAATTTCTTATATCCATTTTAATCTATAACTTCTTCTTTTTTTTTTTAATGTTTATTATTTCTAGGAGACAGAGAGAGAGACAGCGTGAGCAGGGGAGGGTCAGAGAGAGAAGGAGTCACAGACTGAAACAGGCTCCAGGATCTGAGCTGGCAGTCAGCACAGAGCCTGACGCGGGGCCCGAACCCACGAACCGCGAGATCATGACCTAAGCGAAAGTCGGACGCTTAACCGACTAAGCCACCCAGGCGCCCCTATCTATAACTTCTTTGATAGTTTGTTTTTTTCTTATAATATTTTGTTGAAGTAAGTGGGCCATTTGTATTTTATAAAACATTTTTCTGTGGAGTAACTTTTTGTAGAAAAATAGTACTGGATCAGTATAAGTGCTTTTCAGATTTGTCTTTTGTTTACTATGTTCATGATTTTTGTCGTATTCTCAGTTTATTATTTGCTTACTATTTTCATGACTCTTGACCTGTTTTAACAAATTCATGCTTTATTATTCTAGTCATTCACATTTATGGAATAATGGTTTTGGTGTCTTCATTATATTTTAAAATACCTGTTAAGGTGAATATATATTAGGATAAAACTCTTCATCTGTGTACTATCTAAAATCATCTTAAGTGAATGCCTGAGTGGCTCAGTTGGTTAAGCGTCTGTCTTCAGCTCAGGTCATGGATCTTACAGTTCATGAGTTTGAGCCCCATATTGGGCTCTGTGCTGACAACTTGGAGACTGGAGCCTGGAGCCTGCTTCGGATTCTGTGTCTCCCTCTCTCTCTGGCCCTCCCCCGTTTGTGCTCTCTTTCTCTGCCTCTCTCAAAAATAAATAAACCTTAAAAACAAATTAAATTCATCCTGAGTACCACAAATTAGGAAACACTGTTTTAATATTAATTTCTCTTTGCCTTAGTCCCTCTACTTACCTCCTGTGTTGAAATCCAGTCGGTGACCCCAAGAGGGACCAATTTGAAACCTTAGATATATTGTCTGCATGTCTCATAAAACAAGGTACATTCTGTGCGAAGTACGGTTTTACTAGCACACTGTTGATGAGGTGTGTTACCAATCTGAGATTATGGTCTAGCCATCTCAGCATTTCTGTCTTTCAGGCTCAAATTCCATTACGTGTGACATGTCATTTTACAGAGGAAGGAAAAAAAAAAACACTAAGAAACTGCTTCTGGGCTGTCCTGAAATCCTTCATTTTCTGGTTGATATATGGAGTTAAGTGATGACTGAAAACATTTTTCTTTTTGTTAAATAAGATTTAACTTTTAGAGAAAGTTAAATTTGAAGAGTATAAATTAAGAAGAGAGCATAGTGATGCTTTTTTTAGTTCCTAAAAATTTGTGGAGAAGGCATTTCATTAAAATAATTTGAATAGATGAACTTTGGGGAAGATAGAGGTCATTAATTTATTTTGTGTGGATCAATCTATATAATTAGGTTAGAAAAAGTTTTTTAATGTTTATTTCTCTGAGAGAGCTAGAGCGTGAGTAGGGGAGAAGCAGAGAGAGAGAGAGGGAGACACAGAATCCAAAACAGGCTCCAGGCTCTGAGCTGTCAGCACAGAGCCCCACACGGACCCGAGCCCACGAACCATGAGATCATGACCTGAGCTGAAGTTGGACTCTCAACCAACTGAGCCACCCAGGCACCCCTAATTAGGATTTACATATAAGGATTATCCTTATATAATCCTGTCACTAATTTACAAAGCTCTTTCACATACATTCTTCACTGTATCCCATGTTACTCTACAAAGAGTTATCATCCTCATTTTACAAAGTAGGAACCTGAGGGATGCCCAGAGAAACCATGTAACTTGCCCAGAGACACATTGCTAATCAGAGAAGATATTGCAAACCACGTAGAGATGTGTCTTTTACCATAGTGAAAAGGCACTGTATTTGAAATCACATATTCTGGATCTAGCGTACACTTGGATAGTTTATTTCAAATTACTAAGCAACAATCATTCTTATTGTAAATTGGGATGAATTGCTACACAGCTCTCTTGAGAATGAAATTAGATAATGTGTAAGTGAAAGCAATATAAAATTTTTAAAAATTACAAAATAACGGGCACCTGGGTAGCTCAGTTGGTTGAGCATCTGACTTTGGCTCCTGATGTTGCGATTCATGAGTTCAAGCCTCACATCAGGCTCTCGGCTGTCAGCACAGAGCTCACTTTGAATCCTCTGTCCCCTCTTTCTACTCCTCCCTCACTTGTGCTCCTCCCCACAAATTACCAAAAAAGTATTTTTGCAAGTTCATATTAATGTTATTTTATCCATCTTAGTAACAAAATATTACTTAGAAATTAAGTATTCATTGCCTTTACAAAAAGTTTTTTGTAGAAGTCTAAGTAATAAAACATTAACTACAAGACATTCATGGATGTTTTCTTATACAGTTCAGTTTATGTAGAGTTCCT